TCAAACCTGTCATTCCGAAGGTCTCTAATAGCTTTAGAATAGTTAATAGGCAATTTCCAAAAGTGATTAGAAAGTGAGGTTTGCAAACTTAGTGTCATTTAAAACTCTCTGCTGCGGTTGCAAGCAAGATGGCTGATCCCACTGTCTTCTAGTGCTCAAACCCACGGAAACCTGCTGTCCTTGTAAGGAGCAGCTGTATGGAGCACATGTGGGCAATCTCCTGTCCTCTCCTTATCCAGAGAGTTTCCAAGCAACCAGTTCCTTGGTCTTTGCCGCAGTCATTGGCTCCACTTTTGCAGAGCCATCTTCAGTTTGCCATACCTGCCCCGGAAGCCCTGCTCCTCAGTCTTCTTTAGGCTAGGAGGGAGACGAGAAATCCAGGCTCCACAGTCCCCTCCCCTTTTTTTTTTCTAAATCTACTGGTCAACCAGGAGACTGATTCCCCTAGATGATGCAAAGCCCTAGAACTGACTGTGTCTCCTGGCTTAATGCAAGTAATTTAAATGGATTCACGTGTTGTACTTTCATAGCCTCCCTGGCAGGGAATTATCTCCCCAGTGGCCATTGCTCCCAGAAGCCCTAATTCCTTGCTTCCTCCCCTTATATAATGTTTTGAGGGTAGTTTACAGCTCCTGCATGGATCCCCACAGCTATTTCCTTTTCTCAAACTCCAAACTAAAGTTTAGTAGTGATTATCCAATGGCTGCACAAAGTTGGAAGACCCCTAGATGGCAACTAGAGAAAATTATATGTCAATAGGTCAAACAGTCAACTCATAGTTTCAAGGATTTTTTTTTTTTTAATGTTAGTATGATGGGAAAGAAAGAAAATAATCAGGGCATGGAGTAACCAAAGCACTATGCATTCAAATTGGAAGTTGTTCACATGGCTCATGATGTTGAAATTATCCAACTTCACTCACAATAGAAAGGGCAAAAGGCAAGATCAAGAAATATTCTAAAATTCAAGCTACACAAAGTACTAGTGCCAAATTCAAAGAGATTGAGAAACAAGGTATAGTCTATCAAAGGTCAGTTATTCCAGAAGGTCACTTACAAAGTTGAGGTTCACAGGTGAGAGGTTGTTTCTGATATTGTTCTCCTGCTTGACTGATGTCAGGAAATATTCTAGCACCCAGTTAAGCCTAGATGATGCTAATTATTCTGAATCAGGATGCAAGGCTATTGACTCCTGTTTAAATCATTACTCCCAAGGTGCCTTTCCTTAATGTCAGGTGTTTCTCTGACTTTTTTCTTTTATAACTTTTAGAATCTTTTAGATTCTCAATCCATTGCTGCTCTCATGGGTTTGGGAGATGTGTACTTTCATCAGGCACTTGAGCCACAGGTTTTGGTATAAGTATTGTGCTGAGGACTAATTCTGCAGAATTGGGCTTTGCCAGCTTTTCATCTTGTTTCTGCAACTCAAATGACAACATTTGAGAAGTTCATGACAGAACTCAGACATATATTCCTTCTCCCTCACTTTATCCACTCAGTGTAGGTTATTTTAGATTTTGTTCACAAAGTTATAGCAAAGATTCATGAAGTTGTACTTCCCAACTTGAGGGTCCTCCTGGATTCACAGCTCTTACTTGAGGAGTAGATGGCAGCTGTGGCCAGGAGGGCATTTGCACAGCTACATCTTGTACACAATTTACAGACATTCTTGAATTGGGAGGACCTGCTCATAATCACTCATGATCATCTCTTATTTGGTTTACTCTATCATGCTCTACATAGGATTGCCCTTGAAAAGCATTCAGAAGCTACAGCTGGTACAAAATGACATGTCCTGGGCAGTGATGGTATTTCCCATTATATTCATGTGATCTGCTGCTTCAGGGGCTGGATTGGTTGCCAGTTGGCCTCTGGGTGCAATTCAAGATGCTGATTGTCACCTTTAAGGCTCTGTATGGCCTGGTTATCTGTGGGTCTCTGTTCTCCAATATTCAACTGGCCATCTGATCAGATCAAACAGGGTCAGCTCCAGCCAAAACCTATATATTTAAGAATGCCATCTGGCATGCCCTAGGAAATGGACATTTTTTATATACAGAGATCCAAACTAACCCTTCCCTCCAGGACTTCAGGAGAGCAGTTAAGACCTGGCTTTTTCATCTAGTCGAGGAGGAAGGCAAGCTTTCATTGTTGGGATGTGTTGGAAGACCATGTGACTTTATATGTTTTCCTTTGTCCCTTACAATGTTGGGATTCTTTATTAATGTTCTTGGATAGATTTATTTTTAGGGATTCTTTTTATAATGTTTTTGATTGTTAGCTACTCAGAGCCCTCAGGAATGGGCAGCATACAAATTAAGTAAGTAAATTAATAAAACAGTAATAGATATCCAGGTGACTTAAATTAATGGTGTTAAATATACTGTGGTACTTTATTGCATTTTGACAGGAGGATTCGGCTCTCATTCTCATTTAAAATGCCGATTATAGGGTTGTCTCATGAGTCGTTAGTGTAGTTTCTGTTTATATTATCATTTTTAAGTACATGTCTTAACGTTTAGTGTACCTTTGATTTCTTTGCAGTATACCATATACTGATATTAAACTTTGGGAACAGGAGATTAGAAGTTAATAAAATTTAACATGAATTCACCTTTGATTGGGAAACCTTGAGTCACTTGTCACAAGCTAGCTGTCATAAAAGGATTGCTATTGAAAGACTATT